ATGCCCACTGGCCTGAAAGTCACCGCAAAAATCACCAGCGTTTTCTATGTTGATATTAAAACTGCATCATTATGAGTTAATACATCAGTGATGATGATATTCATTTCCTTGCCATGCTGGGAAATCAATCCAGTTCTGCCAAAACTCTTCTATTCGCACATGCAACATGTGAGCAGCACTAGACAGGCTCTACCATTATTTTAACAAAACTACAGACAAGCAGTTAAACACAAAAGATCGCTTTATTTCTCAAAGCACACCCTTCTCATTCTTGAAAAGGTGCATTTCTAATTGTCACTATTTTAAATATATTCTCTATTTTCCTGTGAAGTTAAATACTTTAAAGAAAAATCCCCAAAGAAATAAATACAAAGCACAACAGTTTCACTTTATGATTTGCTTTGAGCATTGCCTGGTCCTGCATCCACTCTGGCGAGTTTTGCTGCTCTTTGAAGCTCTTAAAAAAGAAATCCAGAGCCAGCCTTCCTAGCTCTCCAGAACCCTCTGCTTATCAGCTGTTAATACAAACTGTCAATACAATGCTAGAGCATGCACAGAGTAGCTTATAGCAGTTTAATAATTCTGTAACTTTCATTACGAATACACACATTGTTACTAAGGATAGAATCATGATGCTTCTTTTTCTAGATGCTCATAGAAAATTCCATGTTACAAAATGCTTGTTTGATGATGTGCACGTCTGCTGGTGAAAAGGAAATCAGCACTAACAAGGTTTGCCGGGTTGTTCAATAGATAACTTACAAAACCAGACAATTTCCAAAGTTATTGATTGGAGCACTGCAGCACAATCTGCAACCATCATTTTACCTGAAACCTAATTAGCCCAAATGGTTGGCAATGCGTATCCGTTGCGGTATAAAATGTTACCAAGGTCATCAGAACATGCCACGTGGGGTTTTATTCTCATATGAGGAGCACAGTCCAATGCAACAGCACAGCTCCTGCTAACAGCCAGAAATGGAGGTCTGACGACGCAATTTTTATGACGGTTGTCACAGTAAAAGAGAAGTGAAAGTAGTCCAGTGCAGGCAATATCATGTTCCTTCAAAGAGCTGAGACCAGAAAGTTGAAGCACTTCCCATATCAGAAGTTGTGCTCCTGAAAAGTTTTTCTTGAAAGAGGTATCAGTATGAGCCGGAATGGGTGCGGCTGTGAATTCATCCCAGTTACGTATCTCACTCGAGACAGTATTCCTGAAAATGTGATCAGGGTCTGGCAGGCTGATTTCGCTACATATACACGCACTTAAAGAACATCCAGTGACTATGATAAAGTCTGAAAACTTTAGCTGAAACTCGTACCTGTTCACAACAAGGTCTGAGGTAGTTTAGAACCACTCTACCTTTAGGAAATATGAGAAAGAAGGAAAGGGCTTTAATGCACAAAACTTTCAAGATCCAGTGATAATTACTACAGAGAAGGGGAGTGTTACCACATAGTTTTAAACTGCTGTCTGTCAAGAAAGAAGAGCACTGACAGAAATGAGTGAAAAAGTTCATTAAAAGCTGAACTTCTATTTACCCTGGCTCCTTGTATTTAATTTATGATCTTTGAAGGAACAACATTAACATTCGCTGCAGAAAGAAAACCAATGATAATGAAATTGAGAAAAGCAGAAAGCAAAGAAAATTTTACAAGATACTGGACATGGGCACTGATTCTCAAAATGAGTCCGTGTGCTCAGTGTGATGTTTGAATCTCCAAGACAGCTGAAATATCTTCACACAGGAACACTGAAGGTATGAATTCTTTTGAGGTTCACTTTTGATGATGCAGTTTATTTAGAAAACAACACTTATGTACAAATAACACATTGAGCAATGCACAACTAACAAATTGAGCATATATTTGCTGCATCATGGTGAGAGAGAAATACTTAAATTTATATTTAAACTTAACTTAGATAAGCCTGCACAAAGCCTGACCTACTACTTAAGTCAACAGAAAACCTCTTATTGATTTTTCTCTTAAGGGTAACAAATAGATTGCAAACAGATTATGGAAGTACAAGCACCAAAAGGGCTAGTATTTCCATATCCAGACAGCCAAATTTAAATTTTGCTCACTAGCACTTGACAGCCTAGTGGTAGTTGCCTTTAAAGTCTGATGTGAATTAACAGGGACGAGGATATTTTATTCAGCATATGACAATGAGGTAAAAATAAACAAATTTTTAAAAATCCTTAATATATCACAATTTGGAGGAAAGTTGCAGGGAACACCACAGCAACAGTGATATGATGCTAGGTAGGGAGGAAAAGAAAAGGAGTAACAAGCAGATTGGGGGAAGCATGTAGGAAAAAGTAAGAGCTGTGAGGACCGGAGACAAACAAAACTAGCTCAGACCACAAGAATCATATCTTCATGTTGCTCTTCCCATAAAAACTACTAAAGCCTTGCTCCCTACGTTTTCTTCTTTTTTTTTTTTAACTCACATTCAGATGAGTGACAGATTCCTTAACAAAATTCCCTAAATTAAAAAAAAGGCCATGTAGAAACACATCTTTGCAAATAGTCACTTCAACTTAGGTAACACATCAATTTTCTTAGCTATATACGCACAGATGCACACATGTACGTCCATACAAGTCTTTCCCCCAAACTGCTCCTTGCAACTCCAGCTCTTGCTGTAAGTGATATGTTTCTAATCTAATCATCTAAGTCCCATGAACTTTGTATTACTGCATAAAAACATTCACTCAAAGTATTTACCTCTCAAAATGAGTGACATAATTCCTGAAATAGATCCAAATCATGCAACACCGATGCCCTTGTTATTAAAAATGGCATAAATAAACTTACAGAATGACCCCAACGGGATCCTGGCCTGTAGAAAGCAGAAGAAACTTGCCCCTGTTCTCCAGCAATGAACCGGCCGTGATTGTTTCAAAAGCTGTTTCTCAGCATGACAAATCTCTATGAGAAATTCCTGTGAAGAATTCTACTATCTTGTAGCAGCTGAAAATAACTAAAAACCCCAACAGACAGCTATAGAAGATGCCAAAAACCCAATTCTGTGGCCTGACCATGCTTCAAAAGCACAATCTAAAGTTTTTATGTAAAGACAAAAACTTCCTAACATCTATTGTTAAATACCTTTATTGGATTCTAGGTATTAACCATAAATCACCTACCAACTATAGCTCAGGACTACAGAGACGACAGATAGGTGACGTAGACCAAAAATGATACGAAGGAGATGAGTGATTTCTGGTAGGTGTGCAAGTTCCCTGCTTCCTCTACAGAAAGAAGCTGCGATGACTACTATTCACTTGGATTACATGGCACATAGTTTTAGACGCACAAACCCTCATCTGAACGGTAATACTGCCCAACTTACTTGATATTTCAGGAGTCACCTGGTACTTTTTGGACACATAGCATTTGCTGTAAAAGACCATACAGGTCAGTTTTGTAAATTCCTCAGACTACTTAATATAGACCGAGGCTGCTGATGTATATCTGCCAGTTTTCAGGAGTCACTGGATAATTCTGAAAATCGTGAGAAACTAGGTTACCTTCTTTTAACCGAGGGACGAGTATCTGCACAAAGAGAATAGATGTGCCAAGATGATAAACACGAAACAGATGAGGAAATGTTCTAATGAGGAAAAGTACTTACATTGCACCAACAGTGCAGCTCTCCTCCTCTACAATAGCCCAGGGCCTAAAGTAGCAGGAGGCACTGGAGAGGCGTGCTTACGCCTATGCAGGGCGAGGTCACCACTCATTCAGATTTTTAGCCAAAGTAATCTGAACTTCAATTCCCATGGCATTTATGTAATGAATCAATTATAATTTTTTTCAGAACACTGAGCTGTATTATTCTATTAGGCTGGAAGGAACGGGCAAAGAAGTAATTCTCTGATGTCTGGTTGGGTGATAATGTCTAATGCCAAGGGTGTGTGGAGCTGATTCTTCACTTCCTTCCACCATTTGTATATATCACAGTAATTAAACACATACAGTATTATAAAACTGGTATGTAGTTGTACTGGCAGTCAGTCTATTGGTAAATGACAGATACCTGCAGTTTCCTCGTATTATACTACAGTTTTTAATTTGGGCTTTCTTTCTCTAAGAAAAGTTGCAGGGTGACTTTAAAACTATTTTTCTACTAAGCATTTTCAAAATCAATCACAGACCCAGATTCTATCATGGAGTATGGCTGGGACTTCAACATTACCTCAGCCAAAGCTTTGCAATGAAAGTTTGTGAAGGACCAAAGAAAAGTCTGCAGGCTTTTTTTGAGCAGTTAACAAAAGCCCTGTGAAGGCTCCCTCTGTAAACACTGCAAGCCATAGCATACAAGGTACCCATGAGGAATGTAGGTGTGTTCTTTGGACTGCACCCCTGTCTTTGAGATGAGCATTTAACTTGCTCTATTTTATACACCTCACTACAGCCAAATCGCCAATATTTAACAACTGGGCAAAATCCAGCTTTGACCTGCTCACCCATACCTTGTTTAGACATTTGCACTTTTTAAGCAACCATAAAATAGAGTCAGCATCCTGCCATACGACAACGGTAGCATTTCACACCTGCCTGCACAGATTTTTTTTTTATTTTTTTTTTTTTAGTTTTGGAGCTTTAAAACCTCTTCTAAATTCAAGCTAAATAATTAGCTACTAGCTTAATTTAACATATATATATATATATGAATATTTAGGTACTCCTAAAACTTGACCCAGGACCTTCATTTCTGTATCCTGACCAAAGCCTTGTGGAGCTTCTATATATATCTGAGTTAACTAGTACAACTGACAACAACAACAATCAGTTCAGAGAGGACTAAGGGTTCTAACCTAAATACACCATTAACTGAGAGATGGGGATGGGAACCAGGCTTCAAGCATCCTCTGGGATCTACAAATTACTATTTCTGAAGCATGGTTTAGTCCTCTGGCAACTGATACCATGACATACAAGCCTCAACGTTTACTCTTAAATACATTAACTCTTACTGGCTCTGGTTATTTGCTGACTACTCCAGCCACAACAGCAAAATTACCAATGTGTTCACTTGTCCATTTGACAGTATATTAACACCTGTCAAAATATAAGCCAATTAATACTTTCATAGAGAAATGCAATGTATAGCATGTCTACTTTCAGTGAAATCACATCTAAGTTCTAATTCCTTACCGAGTGTCTCTGAGTGGGCATCGCTGTATAACCAGAACTACTGACACACAACAATCAGACAAGAATGGCATTAACTTTGTCTTCTAATTTTCTCACGGATGCTAGATGTACAAAACATTGCTGAATAATGAGTAGATGCTCGCGTGCATTTGGCTGGAAAACTTAATTTACTTAGAGTGGAACAATTATACACATCTTTTGCTTTCTTTCATGGAAAGCAACTCTCATCAAGTCAGACACTAAACTGAAAATTCTCTAATTTAATGTTATCATTAGTAAAGATGGAGAAATTAATTCAAATTTTTCAGCAATGCTGAGAAGCACTGAGCTCTTTCATGAGTTGTCATAACAAACAAGAAAAATTGATTTTCATGGGGAAAAAGAAAGAAATGAAGCTCTAAAGGAAGGAAGCTGCAATGAAGAACAGTTCCTTCTCTTAACAAAATTGGTGATTCCTCCTCTGTATTGTCTTTTACATTAGACTTGGATTAACTTCCAAGTTAATTACAACTCATTGTAATTCCATTTAACATGCCATCTGAACTTGTCTTAGAGCTGATTGGCAATGGCTTGAAAACAGAGCTGCACAATTTTTGCTCACTTCAGAAATTAATTTTCCTGGATAAATCAGTTTTAAGGAGTTGATATTTGGCTGTATTTCTGTGAATAAAAATCTTTTAAATGCACTTGGAATAAGTTAATTAAATAAAGAGTCTTTAGAAAGAGCTTTGTTGAGCTCCATATGAGTTGAGCCTAAGTCTGAATTCAACCTATGGAAGAAAAACTGAGAAAATGAGGCCTGGGGAATTTAAAGATACTAAAGTACTAAACAGAAATAATGGCTCAATAGTGACAATAAAGTTAGTTCCATTATGTAGAAATCTTAACAACAGGTCTATTTTATAGTTTCTGACAAGAAAGCAATGAATACCTGGTCAGTTCTGCTCTACCCCTGTTGCAAATAAAATGTAAGTGATAACACAGTTCTGAATAATTATAATATTTCATCACTCTGACAAACCCTGACATTAAGCCATAACAGCACAACTTACTTCCACTGAAAGGAAAGAAAAAAAGAAAACAAAGAAAAAAGAAAAAAAATATGTCAGAAGAATATACGAGAACTACATCTGAAATTGGGAGTCAATAAATACAGAAAATAATTAGAAAGAATGAGAACATCCACACCAAGCCACAAATCAGTTCTGTGTGGCATCTTCCTTTGTCACTAGTAATACGTTGCTGACACAATGTTTAAGACAGAGACCTATACTCAGCAATACAGATATTAGGGGTGTTTGTTGGCGGGTAGTGTTAGAAGACCAAGCAGAGTTCAGGTCCCTTAAACATTTCGACATTATTTCTTTGAATAAAAAGGTAAAGGATTCCCACTAGAAAACGTGAAGTTGTGGCAGGGCTTGTCTAAAAAGCCTGGGAGCTCTGTGATGACATTGGACTCACCCCAGAGACAGGTTCTAAGAGTAACTCTAACAGAAGAAAATAAAGACTGTGAGAAAGGCCACGTGTGACTGAGAATCAGTCTAATACTAAAAATTTCTATTCACCTGTATGAAGGGACAATGCAAAGTTGGTTTTTGTTTTGATTGATTTTTGGGGGTGGGGAACTGGAGGGTCTATAGGACCTGATAGTTCTTGCTTTGGGAATCTCTCAGATCTGTTCACTCAGATTCTTGGCAGAGAGTGAATATCATGGGAAATAAATAGACATTTCTGTTCAACAGTGAGTCATAGGACAAGATCAAAAAGATTTGCACTAGGTTATAGTCTACAAGACTTATTTGTATCATAAAAATTAATCGTGCACATCAAAGATTACAAACTGAAAATGCTGTTCTTTCTCTGAGAGCCTAGACTCAGAAAGCTGGCACAAACTTTTTAATTTTTTTTTTTTAAACATTCTCTACAATGGTGACTACTAAAGACTAACAGCTAGGAAGTTATGCCCTTTGCTTATCCACAGCTTGAGAAAAGCAAACTTGTTTGATCAAACTGCAAAGAAATACCACCACTGACATGGAAGGACTTATCTACCAAAGACAAGACATGCTCCATGCATCTCAGTAGTTCCAGCATGGATTACAACCAGAATAGAAAAGTTTTCTGGTTTTACTTCTCAAAGGCAAAAAAGAAAAAAATCCAACTTTTTGGACCTATACTTAAGCAAGACAGTTGTGTCCCCAGTAGCTGGTCTCAATACTTTCATGCTCCAAAGGCTGTTAAGCCATAAGGTAATCAGCACGCCAGACGAGGTGCTGGCCGGCACGAGCAGTATCCTGCCTCAGAACTCTAGACAGTCTGAGGCAGCTGTGGCACATACTAGAAGCTATATATAATGCAATGGGCATGCATCTTCCCCGACAGACATTCACAAGTCAAAAGACAGCAGTGGGAAGGGAGGGGGCTGTATGCAAATGTCAGAACTCAACCGCAATTTGGCAATGAAAAATACTGTAATATTATTGATAAAGCCTAATCAATTTTATTTGAAACAAGAAAAAGGAAGCTTTTCTCCTTCGAAGTTTCTACTGATTCATTGCTAGCACTTGTTATATTTCTTCCTGGTTTTAGCACAAGCAGTATCCAACAAGGAAATTCTTTCACATTAAGTCGTGTGATAAATTAACACACTATTTGCTATGTTGATATAACTCATTTTATCACTATGGTTATGCAAAGGAAAACCGTATTTATCCTACACTAGCTTTGTTTTCTTCTGACAAGGCTATTTGTCACCACAGGAAATTCCAAGTTCATAAAACTGGATAGCTGACATTTCCGATATAATATACTTTGTGAGGAGTAACAACCCTCCTAATCAATTTTGCCAATTACATCAGCATTTGTCTTAATACAAAATCACTTTATCCCATACTGAAAAACCAACATGGAGTCACGTAGACCTGGAGTAAGAGACTGTATCATCATCAGTGTGGAAACACTTAGAATAAGCGAAGTAGCAGGCAACGTAATCCAGACAGACATAGATGGATAACGAATTCTGTGATTGCAAAGTAAGAGCCAGATCTTTTACAATACAGGGTAAAAGCATCATATTTTATGAAGACTATGAGAAACGTTTAGCACACACAGCCTTTGAATTTTTAGCTCCACACTGTAAAACATTTTTTTCTTGGAAAAAAAAAGTATCTGCAAATTCTTCTTTTTGTATTCTGAACAACTGCTTGTCAGCGACCAGATGCAGTTCCACTTTTCTAAACCAAACATTTTTGATGATCTGTTGCAAGTTTTCTTAGAAACACAGGTAAAATTTAAATAATCATCTTCAGGAGTGCAAAATATGTTTTTCTTCAAGAGGGATGCTTAATTTAGGCATTTCCTTTTTGAGTGTAAGAAATGACAATTTTGTACTTTGAAAAGTCAACTAAGGTCAAGATTAATTAGTTTGTTGATATAATGAAGGCTTTTCTTGTCATCCCACTGATGAATGAGGGAATTTGCATCTCAGCAGGTAAACACGTTTGATACTTCCTTAATCTACTGCACAGCATTTGCTACAGCCAAAAATAAGAGACAAAGCGGAATACCGAATCAAAACAATTTAGAAAACAGATTACTAGTTACAAAGGAATATGAATGGAGAATAACTTTTAAAAATAACATGTATTCTGGACTGATGTGTTCCAGAAACATTTTCTTTGCTAATGGAAGCCTTCAGGGAACAAATACTTATTTCATACGCCTTCCATTCTGCTCGAATCATTTTAGATTTCCACTGTAGCTCTGCCTTTTATTTCCTTCTGTTCTCCTTGCCTTAGTTAGATTAGAGAGGTAGGGTGTTAATAGGGTACTTGATGAAGAATGAAGACTTATTTTCTCCCCCCTCGGAGACCAGCCTGATTTGAACAAATTGAGGAGAGTGAAGGAGTCTCTTCATGTCCTTGGGAAAAGCCTTTTCCATTTCAGCATTTCCAGCTTTCAGACATGGTCCCCTTTGTCCAGAGAGAAAAAGGAAAGAAAAGGTGCCAGCACGAGAAGGTTCTGAATAATTTCATACAATGTCAGCAGGGCTGCAAAAGCTCCCTTTCAATCTCCTTTACGGTTGGTGAGCATGTGAACGTGAGGTGGATCCAGGAGAGGAATGCAGGGAACTAGTGCTTGCAACTTGAACAGGGCGAGAAACAAGCTGTTGTCCACCAGTCTCCACCTCTGTTGTTGCCACTTCCTTACTACTATCATCCTTGTGGGTACTGTTTTGTGCTGGGCACTCAAAATGCACACAGTGAAACACCTGGAGAGAACAAAACATGAAGATAAAGCAAAACAATTAAATGCTGGCAAAAGCATGATCAAAGTAAGATGAAGTCTATATGGAAGTATGCAGGTCAGGTCAGTGCCAAAGTACTTGGTCAAATTAGAATGTTTCACCATGAAGTCAAAAACATCTGTCCGTGGGCCATAAACATTATAAAGTGATACAAGTGGAGCAAGAGAAGGCCTTCAAATTACACCAACCTTTACATATGGCACTAAAAAGCAGAAGGATGGTTCCAAAGTGGATAGAGGTATTTGTAAATGATTTTTTTCTTTGCCAAGTAGCATAAATACCCGCTACATGCTATCGGATGACAACAACAATTATATTCATTGTCTTAAATGTATCTTATGATCTAATTACTTCCTCAAAGACTGAATGTTCACGCACACTAGAAATGAAATTTAAATCATTACCAATATGATTCTATTTCAAGATTGCCCTCTGCTGTAATAGCAATGGTGGCTCTGCAGACATATCCTGGAGTATGTAGAAAGGCATTCAGAGTGTCCAAGGAGGCTGCTGCTTCAACAGTTGAAATATTCCATTTCAAACAGTGATCATTTTCTGATGTTTCAAACAATACCTGGGACCACTGTACAGGTGACTGTATCTCAGAATAAGAGGACCATCTGTTTAAGCATTTTTTCCAATTTATTTTCTACTTTACTTACTCTTACTTCTACTTGTTCTTGAAGTGGCTGGGAGGAGAAGGGGGAGAAACTCTTTAAAACTGTTACAAAACTTCTTTCCACATTATTTCTCATTGCTACGAATTGCACAGCTTTGCCACATACTAAACAAATAAATCTTTTCTTATACTGATTTAAAATTTGCTATTTTCTCATGCATTGTAGTTTTATAGCTAAAGCTTGATGAGTATGAAAAACAATTTTTAAATTATTGTTTTAACTTAATTTTGTATGCTTTTATGACATCTTCTATCATTCTTCTTGCAAGTAGGTCACGTTTTTAAAACTCTTCTCACAAACAAAGGTAATCTTTTATAATCTTAACTGCCCTTTCCCACACCCTTTCAAGTTAATGTGGGCAAAATCAAATACCATAAACAAGACATGGGTGTACTACATATTCATACAAAACTACAGAATATTGTATTTTCTATCCTTTCTTAAACACAACCAAAAGTCCTATTACTCTTTTTGTCCATCCCTGCTCAAGTGCACATGGAGCAGACGTCTGCAATGACATGTCTGCAATAGCCCCTGGGTCTTCTCTGAGGAGGTAGCTAGCTAATTCAAATTCTGACAGCATACATTGAAAGAATAAAAAAAATATTCACAGTCACCGGTTTTTTTTATCCCCATTATATTTTCTTGTGCCTCTCAGTGTAAGAATTCTCGCAGGTTTTTATACAGATACATAGCGATGCATGTTTGTATTTCTATATATACACACATGCTCACATAAAGATGTATCGCTATGCCTTTATATATACACGTATGAACAGATTACCAATCTACACCCGTACCCACACATACACACGTGTGTACAAAATGTTTTTTCTCTGCATTTCCTCTGGGAGGTTTTTTCCTAAAGCCGAACTAATTTCTACAGTAGCAAGAATTCTCTCCATCTGTTACAGTTCTTGAGAAGCCAATTTTTGCATTCAGCAACACTTCTTGAGAAGCACCTTTTATACTCATCCCACTTTCATGTTTTTGAAGTAACAGCTATTGTCATTTTTCCAGCTGTGATGTTTTTTCTCTGCATTTCCTCTGGGAGGTTTTTTCCTAAAGCCGAACTAATTTCTACAGTAGCAAGAATTCTCTCCATCTGTTACAGTTCTTGAGAAGCCAATTTTTGCATTCAGCAACACTTCTTGAGAAGCACCTTTTATACTCATCTCACTTTCATGTTTTTAAAGTAATAGCTATTGTCATTTTTCCAGCTGCACTTATCAGCATCAGGATTTGCAGAAAAGAACATTGTCTCATCAGTGCACCTCTGTAAGATGCTGCTTTCCCTGAAAGGCAGCACAGTCTAATGAATGGGATGGAGGTCTCCAAGTCAGAAGATTCCATATTTCTACTGTATCCCACACCAATAGTGTTTCTCACTTAAAACTTCACTTTCATAGTGATGCATGCTTTTTTAAATATAGTATGGATATCACTGAAGTTTAGCTAATACTAGTCTACAAAGTCTGAGATACCCGATTCTTAAATTGTAACTTTCATTTTTACTGATTCTTTTATACTAAATTCTTAATGTTCAATTCAGCATCTGGCACATTAACAAGCCTGTGAATTTACAACATTATTTTCAGTTTCTCTGCCACTTCAACATATAAAGAATACAGCCTGTGAAAGAAGCAGAGGACAGAGAAGTACAATTGAGCTCATCTGCTTCATCCAATATCGGAATTACGTATTTCAGAACAGTATTACTAAAACAAACAATCCTGCATGTGTTTCTCTCAAAAGGCAGAGATGACAGTTCAGCATCATCCTCTGATCAATGGCATATTATACTTCTCATGGATATTTTAAGAAAGGTCCGACATACAAAGCAGGAAGGCCGAGTACATATACACTGGTGCAGTAATTTGTAAGACAAAGCTCTTACATTAGCAACCAGGTGTCCTTTCCAGGTCAGTAATATTGAGAAGGAATAACAAGATAAAACTTACACAGTCAAAGTATCAGGTGACCTGTCCGACAAATAAATGATGACAAGGACTAAGGAAAAATAATTCTTTTCTTTATAAAAGTAGGATATCTGGAATCTCAAGAAAACAAAAAGTTACAACTTCTATCATGTTCTAACATACCAGAAAATATTCAAATGCCAGGTCAAAAAAATCTGTGAATATCATGTCTTTCAAAACTTGGAAAACATGGCAAAGGAAAAGATGAGTTTAAAAGATAAAATCATTCACAAAATGGAGAAATTTGATGGGATTTTTTGCAATTCCAAAAATCAACTCTTCCCTTTGGAAAGTATCTTCAAAGTTCAAAGGTATGTGCTGCCAGAACAAGTAGGGAGTATTTTTGTACTTATTACAGTAAAACTCTTTGATGAGAATATGCTGCCATTAGCATCTTTTGTTTAAAATGAGAATGGTTTGACATAAAATATAATCAGCTGTGGGCAAATAATTCTGGTAACTGCTTGTGTTCCTACTGAAGAGACTACCGAGACTGTAGGCTCCAGAACAAACCAAGACTTCGGTTACACTGTTACTATTTAAATTGGAAGTATGAAAAATATCTTGCTGTCTTCTTTGGAAAATGAAAATTTATGACAAAATGTTACAGACCATCTGTTTAATATGTATCAAAAAATGTAATTTAGTAATACGTGCATGCTGATAACGTTCCTCCTCTACAAGCTTTAGGAGAAATATTAAAAAAAAAAAATAAAAAAATTAGTGTTGGGTACAGGTTTTAAAAACAAAAGAGGAAAAGACCTAGAACAGCAGCATGTGTTTATAGTTCCACCAAGTCACTACATGAATAGCTGTAACCTCAATTTGCACATACGGATCTTCACTATAGTTACGCAGTGCTCCATATAAATAACTACACAGGATATTAAATTCCTTGGAAATAGTAACCAATTTGAAATTAGAATTATGTTTAAAAGCCTATTACTCTTCAGGGCTTAAAGCTACCTTTAAGAATTACAAGTTGGAGGTAATGTTTCTTGTAGGCTGATTTGCTAATTTTACACAACCCACCTCATTCTTTTTTGATAAAGAGATGAGAACTTACAGAGACCGGCGTGAGAGCAAACGAGACTGTACGGATTAGTAATGGAAAAGGCCTTCTTCGTGCATGTACAACAACCCTGGAGGCAGCTTCCGACCCTGTATTTCTAAGAACTCACTGATTAAGAGTGAACTGTACACCGCAAGAGACAGTGCTTAGAAAAAAAAAAAAATTGTATTCCCAGTTCAGTTGATTGGTCAGCTTCTTTCCAACTGCCTGCTGAGAACTAACGTTGACATCTGGTGGTGCGTTATGTTTGCAATAACTGCTCTAGAATTGGACATAAACAATGCTATATATTTGGCAATTCTTCCAATGCTTAAGAACCAGCAACCCCATATGCTAAATATGATCAGAAATCCTGACTCCTAGAGTTGACAAACTCTAATTACTACAGATGTAATAGTGCTACCCAAAGTTCATTGTAAAGCGTGAAAGTACAATGTTTTGTGGTGAACCACGTGTGGGATGTAGACATGCATGCATACAGACAGAAGCAGCAGCTTTTGGCGCCTCTTATAATCTCGTCATATAAGGTCCTAATTTCACAAAGACTTACATATATTCTTAAATTCACAGATTGCAAATTGTTTCACTGAAGTCAACTGTAAAATTTGGACTTCATCTGAGACAATACACAACAATTATGAAAGACAGAAGCACAAGTAAACAAAAAGAGGATGATACTGCACTTGATTGGTTAGGGCAAAATATATTTTTTCTGTATAAAATGAATTGAAAAAAATATCTTGGTTTGGCCACTATTGGTGAACCAATTTACCAGGTATGAAAATTATTTATAAGAGAATCTTATGCAAATAAGATTTTCTTAAGAAGAGTGAGATTTTTCTTATGTTTTATTAATTAAAAAGATAATGTAAAAGTGATAAAACCAAGTAACCAGAGACTATACACCTTTCTCTAGTGTACTAAAATGGTATTTTCATCATTCATCAAAATAAGGATTAATTTAAAACCAATCCCAATAGGCATGTTTGATGGCACTGTGGAAAGGTCAAAACCAGAAACACTTTACTGTACTTTGTCTGTAAAACCCCCAAAATATCCCCCAGACTGGCAACAGCCCTTTAACTCTGTAGGGAAGACGATAACGCAGTTCACAAATACTCAAATAAGAAAAGCATTCATTCTTGTTTTGCTAGATTGCCAGAGTAAAAAAATGAAGCAAGTACATTTTAGAAGGCATTATCAATTTCACTGCAAGATATGAAAAAAACTACTGTTTTATGTTAGTGAAGAATATAGGCTTTCTTAAAAGTTCCTTACCTCATTAGCTGTGTTGTGAGTTCCAACTATTCTGATAAAAGATGCTGGCTGTTTATCAAAAGTGATTGTTTGCCAGGATCTGCAACAAATTCCAGAAAGACATACAAATATTAAACACGGTCACAACAGCTTGCAGTAACATATACAGAGAATCCATTCAAGTGACAGTACGCACTATTATCACTTAACAGGGCAAACAGAGAAACACTTTTCATCACCTGAATTTCCAGCACTCCTTGTTCATTTTTATTTTTAAGTGCCTTGACTCTGCTTATGTGTTTTCATACATACCTTATTCTACTATAATTTGCATGTAAGAATAATACTCATCCTATTGCTGAAAGTTAAGGAAATGGTAAAAGGAAAAAAAAACCTGAATCAAAGTCTAAAATCTTTGACTAATATTGACTGTATTAGATAAACAAAAGATCAGATAAATAAAAGTAAATGCATCCATCTGTTAACTACTCATGAGAAATCATCAGAGCTTGTTTAAAGAAAATTACTGCTCTAGGGAAAAAAACCCCACCCAAACCCTCAAATAAACTCCTCCCACTCTAAGTGGAGCAGTGGAGGCAGAGGAGCTAAGCTTCCCTTGTGTGGGCCAAGGTCCTTCCAGTAAATTACGAATGACGTAAAGCATTCTTCGCAGTTCAGGTTGCGAGGATTTCCCCATCCCGACACAGAGGCAGTGGGGAGAACAGACCACCCCCCCAGAGCTGGAGTGTAACTTTTTGGGCTAGACTGAGAACGCTAGAGGAAGATTGGGACCACAATAATCTTCCTTCCTCATTCATACTCTTCTGATCTGGGTGAGGTACAACACCTCAAGTAGCCTAATAGACAGCAGGATAAAGGACACCAATTCCTACCATACCTTTGTCCTTACAGAACACACTGACAGTAAAACAGAAGAAACAAAAGGAATAATAGGACCTAGAGGTTTCGGTTTGATGCCAGTCTTCCACTACACTAGATTAGTACTTGAACACATTAGAATTTCAATTATTTTATATTCATAAAACATGAAAGCTAGATGAAGAATTTAACTTTTTAGCAAAACTAGACTCTACCACAGAAGGCTTCAGAAATAAAATGCAGTTAAGTATAACTTGATGAACTCACCACAGATGAAAAACATTGGATAGTTTTCCTGAATGTGTTCAGAATACTTTCAGAGGTGTTCATATAAGAAGTAAGGGACCAAAGCAAAACTGGAAAAAAACACCATTCGCCACCAGCAGACCACCCCAAAGCCTGACTATTTGTCAGGTACTTGAATTTTCCCTTAGTAGGAAAACCTCTTTGTCACAAACATAGCATTTCTGGGTTTAATTTAGTCGACTATTCCTTTTATCACTGCTGTCAGGTTATATTTGCTTAAAGAAGATTATGAGCCCAATCAAGACCTAATTTCAAGTAGTTTTCTGGTATTACTGCATGAAGTAATGGATGTAATTAGAGTTACTCATCATAATAGAAAGGTGCGGTCTGTGTCAGGCCTCAGAGGTACAGCAGTTATCTATCTAACGGCATGGTTTATTTATATCCGTTATGTGGCTATGTCCTCCTTATTTTAAAGCTCAGGCTGTATTTTCAAGCTCTAAATAAAATATAAAACGAGAATGAACTATTTTGTTGACTGTCTCAAGACCTGAAAGATTGCTATGATTTAAACATTTTTTTCCGTAAACAGGAGAACAATTCTTCTTGAGTTTCCTTCTCATATTACTCTAGTACCACCAGTCAGTTAATCTTCATGGCCAAATGTAACTTGTTACCTTGAAGTATAGAGTCCCAAAGATGACTGGCTGGGATAATCAGATGATTGCAACACTACTTCTCGTAACAAAGTATTGCCATAGTCTGCATTATGCATATGCTTTCAGATTTACACACACGCACTTTATGCAAGGAGAGTGATGATGTAAAAACCAGATTTCCCTACTTAGTGATTTGGGAAATATTCTAAAGCTATTCTAAATAAAAGAATTTAAAATCCTAAAGAAGCTATTAAACAGCCTATGCCTTCCTAGCCTCTAAGGTAGAGTTTGCGTTCTGTGACAAGAAAATAGGTTAATTAGAGATCAGAGAATAAAATATAAATGGGTCTGTATTTATTTATAGTACTTCTGAGCACTGGTCAAATACACACTGCAAGAGTTCAGTGCAGATTTTCCAAAGGTGGCAGAAATGCCATTGTCTGTTGTATGAAGTAACAACAAGGAAGCTGACACATCTATTTGGGAATACAGCTGAAGAGCATGACAGATATTAAGAGAGGTTGAGAAAAAGGCTCCTGAAGATCCTTTTGACAACACACTTCTAAATCAGCTCCTCCAGGAAGCTCCTAAGTTCTTCCACTTTCCACTGCATTACAAGTCCTTACTTTCTGCTACAATGCTGTTATTAGGATTGGTTTATAATTACCCTTTTAATAATATTAAAACGTGATAGAAAATAGTAAAAAAAATTCTTGAGGATGTGAGACTTGAAGAGAGATAGGGTTTTCAATAAATTTGGTCCTAAGAATATTGACTGTTTTGGTATGTGTCCATTTTATTCCTTTCCCATTGGAAAAAGAAAGTCAAAACTATAGACAATTTGTAGAAGAGTTATTAAAATTCAAGAATATTGCCACTAGAGTATTAGTACTTGATGGGATAATGAGAAAATTAGGTCTCTTAGTTTATTTCCTTAGCAAAAAGGAAAAAAACAAAGTAGAAAACAATCCAAATAGATTTGGAAAAAGTCACTTTTGAAATAAGCAAGGCAAACCGTCTTCACTACAAAGTTGCACTGATTTCGAGTTTAACAGTACATTTGAGAACATCCGATATATACAAAGCAACACCTCTCCAGTACAGATATAATTATGCAGCAAAAAGATAATTTATGCAGCGTAACTATACCCATTTGGGAAGAGAGATTACTGACAGAACATTATCAAAGCTTATCTGCCCTCTTTCTGCCTTTTTTGCTGATATAACAAATTCAGTAAGACTCCTATTTATGTATCAAGCCATAACAATTGTTCAGTGGTGTTCCTTGATTAAATTAAAGACATAATAGGTAAGCCTTAAGTTTCTTTTTAATCTTCTTCTTTTACTACTAGTTATCTCTTCTGGTACTATTGTAATAATTTCAGTTTCTCTGTAGAAATTTTATTTTGCAAATTATTTTGTAGTCATGCCATTTGTGTAGTCATGCCATGCATATGTGCTTATTTTATACTTTGCTCACAACAGCTAGACTTTCTATCCTCAAAATTGCTTTTGATGGTCTTTATAAAAATTTCCTCCAAAATTTATACATAGCTCTGGTATTGATTCCTACATAAGTCACTCTATTCCAGGAACAGCAACATTAAAACCTATCAAAAGCACCTCATTTTTGGTCTGGGATTAGATACTTCTGTATAATAGATGCCATTTCTTCACCTTTACTCCCCATACGCCAAGCAAACAAATCTTTCAAGCTGGTGGCAATACTTTCACCTTCTTTACCTAGGACATGGTCATAAAGAAGCTATCAGAACTTACTTCTCCCATAAACTGGCATCGTTCTCTTTGGACTTGCTGTATCTCTGTACTCCTTATTAGTGACCCTATAACAGATTTTTCAGGGTTTAGCTTTTTTAAATGTTCAGGAAGCGTTGATCTTTTTTTCTGCTTTCACACCTGTCTTGCTGGCTGATTCATTTTAGATTTGCTGCTCAATCCGCAGCAGTCCTGGTCGTCACTTTCACAACAGAAATAATCATTACCTCAAGCTGACGTTTACATCTCTAAGAGAAGACTCGGGACTAGCAGCCTACTCAGATTTATACCAGGGTCCTCAAGCTGAAATGCAGCACTACAAGTTTTTTGGCTAGCAAAGGTCCCCTGATAACACAGGTCCATTTTCCAAAAGAAATTAGCCTTGTTACAGTCCTACGGTGTTATTTAACACTCTACATCTCACCTCAGCCACCCGACTTCTAACTCTCTCGTTCTGCCCGTCTCCCCTAAGGAGATGCAGTAATTGATGATTAGTATTCCAAAGCCATGCTGGCATCATGTCAGCCTGTCATATTTAATTACATTTTAACTATATTCGTCTTCTATAACAGCCTGAAGATAATTTAGATAATTATCTTTTGCGCTCTCATTCTCTGACTCTGCCTGTCTCACTTAGAGCTCCTTGCAATGAAAATCACTTTCTCTGCTCAAACATATAAACAGACTCTTGGGCCAAGTGCTCTCATCTCTCCAACAGCAACAGCTGTCACTGAAAACTCAATGGCTTTGTGCATCCCACAATCTCTTCACCACATTCTATTCAGAGGAAGAAGAAAATCATTAGAAACAGAAACCCCTCCTCTTTCATGTTTCTTCCTGTCTTTTTCTTTTCTTTATTAGGCTATTGCAGGAAGAATGCAAGAAATACTGATGTCCAGGTAAATTATAACAATAGCTCGCTATTGCTTAAGCTATCTATAGCTCCAAAAGAGCAATTCACCTCTTCAGGAATTTAATGGCTTTTCTCAGCATTTGGAATCCTTGCCTAGTTATTTCTATGAAAAGCTGCTATCTTTCTAAAGATTTATTACATATAATAGGATATAAATAGTGACCCTTCCCCGTTATGTCCTTCTCTTCCAGAAAGAACGAATTAAGAAAGAAGCAGAAGCTTATCCTTTATTGAGGTTTTCTAAGGAGCCACTGGCACTACAGAATACTACCACTCTGTGGGATCACCAGAGCAGCACTGATTATAGCTGAAACCAAGTTCAGGCCAAAGATGTAAGACGAAAGAGAAAGCTGTTACATGTTACTAACATTCATCTAGCTGTAATAACCATATCCTATTCATATCATGGCTTGCTTTAGGCTAAGCGCGTACATTTTGTGTGTGCACACTGTGTCTCCTCACTTTCCAAGGTGACATACAACCTCCATTTTTTGTTCCTCGCTCCAAGAAGAAAAGCAAAGCAGAGTTGGAAGCAAATGTGGAAATGAACAACACACCCTGAAAAATGTCAATTACCAGCAAGTAACCTCCATTTTATTTTCTAATGCTTGTCCACATATGCCTTGT